TTGCGTAAATCACCCATTTAAATTTCGGGATTTCCTTGTAAGATTTCAACATTACCCATAATGGTAACTTTGAAAGTGTGGAATGAGACTTAGCGTACTTGTATAAAATTGCTCAGTGTATCACTGGATTAACTCGGATGTTTGTGTTCCAAATAGGGTCGACTGCCAGTGAAATGGACTGCTTATGAGGGATTACATTATGGAATATACACAACCCAGAGTGACGTGTGAGCATTATTATAAGAAGTCAAGAAAGGCTTTGACCAAGGAGTTTGTTTCTCGGCGGTAACAGCGTACCTGACTGTGTAGCCTTATGGCTGCCTCGGTGTACCAAAGTAGCGGGTTTATTTTAAGTGCGGATAAGAGAAAATCCTTTTGTACATCTCCTTCAACTGGTTGTAGGGAAAAAAGTATGGGTCTACAAATGAAACCACTTGCTGGTTCTGTCTCGGTATGCCGATCAACGAGTTACAAACCGTAAACTACAAAAACGAAAACTACAGTATAAATTCCCTCGTTAACCGGCAGTAGTCATTTGATGTTGGCAATGTTAGCACAGACAATCGTATACTACCAATGCATTAAGAACAGAGATTTTGCTCCCTTAACGATCACGAGATACTGATAATAGATGTAAAACAATGTATATGATTATTGTAGATCTAATGTAGTTCTTGAGGCTGGTTCTTTTCAACAGACCAGCTAAGGGTACTCCAAGGCGTGGCACTCAAAATGAATAAAAACGTGGCTGTTAACGTAGTGAAATAAGCCAAGAAAGCTAATTCCGGACCCCGCTTTTGACAAGAAATGCAGCTTCTGATAGGTAGAAGGACAAACTCGAGACCAGCGGATTTCAAACTACTTAGGTTCAGTACATGTGTCAAGCAGTTGCTACCCGCAATTTATTTTTGTTATTGCTGTTTCTTTCAGATGGAGTTTCGGTGTTGTTCTGTATGAAATATTTACTGTAGGTACGTTTACTTTTGCCACTTAAATATAGTCTAAGTAATTCAGTAACTTAAAGTGCTATGAAAAACCTGAGGATATTTTTCCCCACATAATGCTCAAGACTTGTAACTGCGTAAAACAATGTTATACGGTGATTC